CTGCCAATCGGCTTGGGAATGGCAAGTAACGAGCTAGCGCGAAAATTCGAAAAAACAAACAAGAACCTGGTTGATTGCGAGTTCTGGGGTGCAGGCTAAGAGATTCGAAGTTGCGATTGTACAGAAAAGGTGGCCTTTCAAGTATCATGCGCGCACGCGGCACTCGCACCACGACCCAAACGTCAAGTGCCCAAGGGTGTTACGCGCGCGCTGAAAGTCTATTTCTCGAGCAGCTCGGATCCTCTCGACTAACCTCATGTCTCCGACACCCCTTGCCTTTCTCGAACAACTCGGATCGTCTCAGCAACTCGGACTTTCTCTCCCAAATTTTCTTGCTCAGTGTTAGCTGAGGCAGGTAAAGTGTCTGATATGAACGACTGTGAAAGTCTTTTTTCCTTAAAAAAATCCCAACTCGAACATCGGGGGGCTAAGTGAGGTTGGATCAGATAGGCAAATCAGTTTTCGCCTAATGAACTGCAGATTTTGCTGTTCTGTAACACTAGTTCTATGCTTCCCAGGTGTGAACTATGCCCCGCTCTTCTGATAAGAGAAAGGTTAGAGTTTGAAGGAGTAGATAAGGGGTGAAAGTTACCAGTTCGCCAAAGGTCTCTCGAAACGTTATGTTCAGTGACAGCAGACCCTTTCTTCTACTACCTCTCACAGTTCAGGGATGACGGGTTCTCTGGATGTGCAGTCCATGTCGGAGGGCAAGAAAGGGCGACTGCCAACTGCTGCGTATACGCATTTGGAAACAGCTCCTTGTGCCATTACATATACTCGAAATCCCTGAGATCGGGTAGGCGTGGCCGCATGCTTCAACTTAACCTGAAGGTGTCTATGCTTCTGGTGAGATATTTTCATCTTGACACAATTGTTGTCGTGTCTCTGTCCAACACAGAACAAGATGACAGTTGTCCCAGACTGGAATATTCCACGAGTAACCAATTCCGTGCCATGTTCAAATGCCACGCCTACTCTGGCTCAGGGATAAGGAGTGTACCTGTCCATTCGCTGCCTTTCCTCTTTCACCCATTCCTCATCCTTTTGTCTAGAAGTAGGGACTCTAGGGAAAATATGTAGGCGCGTGAACATGTAGACGAGAGCGGGACCGCTATATCAGTGCGCTTGCCTCAAGTAGCATTTGCAGTCCCAGATCCGGCTATCGTATGGGGAAGCATTACAGCGGACAGGTCATCGTAAAATATCTCTCGGATTTTGTGGCACTTTACCACGAAAAAAGGCGCACAATCAGAGTGTGGTAAAAAAGCATTACAGCAAACGTCATTCATTTAGAGCAGCGTCCTGAAGAGCCACGTCGGGAAGAGACTCGTCATGAGGAGCCACGTCGGGAAGAGCCTCGTCGGGAAGAGACGCGTCCCGAGGAACCACGTCGGGAAGAGCGCCCGGGTGTGAGCACATATGAAGGAGCGCGACGTCCCTGTGGCCATCACATATGCGACATTAACGCCGACTGCATGCCTTCACCTAGTGGAGGGGTATGTTTTTTGTGCCTGTTTTTCTAATTCATGTTACAATTGTACTACTTCCTGCCATGTGTAAGGAGGATGGGCAAGCAAGCATACCACTTTCTCCCGTCAAAAGTGCACGGGTGTGGAGCAGGAGGGTACTGCTATCTCCAATTAGTCGCTTGCGCTGCCAGCCACACGCCTAACCATAGTCAAACGCGATACTTATCCCACTTCTGGTAGTTCTCTACCGCTGAGTGAATGTTTTTCTGCGGCATCTTCTTGGTTCCGACGCAAGTGCTGCACTTCAAAGGTAATGCGGGCGGAGTACGGAGAAGGCAGCCATGTATCACTCAACTTCATGCACTTCAAAGGTAAGCAGAAAAAAAGGCACGCTACTGCAGTCGGCCCCATCCACCTTACACATAAAAGGATCCTTCCTCGTACAATGTGTCGAGAAATAGGAAAATTAACTACACCTTTCATAACATTGTTTCTCTAGTCGGAATGTGTGTGCCGTGCGGGCTACGCAGGTAATGGAATCAGCTGCGAGTCGCTGACGGAAGATACAGATGAGGAGGAGAGACAGCCAGCAGTGCAGGAAGAAACAATAGGTGAGAAGCCTCCAAAATTTGTGAAAAATAATGCTTCCAGAAAAATTAGAAAGTCACCGTGGCCAGTAGTCTGTGGACTGCCCCCTTTTTTATTGTGATAAGCCTCTTCTCCAGTGGCCACTGTTGGACCCTTTCATGTACAATCATTATCACTGATGTTAGTTGGGGGTGTCAGCGGCGCGCTCTCGTTGCGCGGCGCCATCCTGCTCTCGTTCATTCCGGCTGGTGAAAGAGAAGTAGTAAAAGGGCTTGACTTCAGTGAAAACGACTGTAAAATTGATTTAGGCATAAACAAGGTTGTATGGAAGCGTGATGCCGCCTTCCAATCCCCACAATTGGATAGAAAAAAGCTAGAAAAAAGCTTTTCACAAATCCTGGAACCATTTGATCCATTCCATTTTGTCTCCGCTTCCATATGCTCTACTCCCTTTCTTCTGAGCTGCTGTGGAAGGACAAAGTACTGCGGAACTAGCGCATCTTTCTTATCTCAGATGAGAATGGCATGGGAAGATAGCCCAGATTGAGATTGTCGTCCGGCTGATCAACTTTCTTTAGGCCTTCTCTGTACAACACTTAACCCTTCAAAGAGTCAGATAAAACAAAACCGCCTTTCCAGGCAAAGTCTGCCGAGCTCATGAGGAGTGTTCGGCTCACGGAAGCTGTAGTTACAGTAGAACACTGGGCTATTATCACTGCGTCTGTACCGAGCCGTATGTTGGAAATGGAGTCGAGTGTGCATTACCAGGATCAGAAAGGACAGAAGAACGAGGTAATTTGATTACTCTATCAATAGGTTGACCCATTTGTAAATAGGAGGCTTCATACGGTTGCACATCGCATGATTTCGGCCGCGCTCAGTGTATGGTCCAACCATTCTAGCATGAATTTTCGTTTTCACCCCGATTCATATTATAGGCGTGACGTTTGCCTACTATTATTTCATACATTCAATCGCTGGCGCTGTTTTTTTTTTTCGAATAAAACACACGACTTAATAATAGAAAATGAATTTTAAATTTAGGATGAGATACCTCCTTCACCATGACCGCTCCGTGCCCCGAAGGGCCTTTTGACTCTCTGCTACTCTCCTCATTTTCCATCAAATGCTGCCGTAAACTTGCTGTTGTTTGCCATTTCGGACTGGCCGCCTGTTATTACAGGCTCCGGCCCCGGAGTCCCACTACCCTCATTGGTGGGGTGTGTAATGCATTCGTCGAACAATGAACAAAACTTGTAGAGTATGCCGTTGGAGAGTAATTGAACTGAATAGAACAGTTGTAATCGCATGGCTTTATGACGGGCGAATGGGGCGATTGAACCCAGGTCTCAGTATTGTTTGTGTCCCAGCACTGATCTACAATACAGTTACTCGGGGTCTGGTACTATGACGAGCAACGGTGGCCTTCTTGTAGTTGTGTGGTAGCATCCATTTGTCGATCTGAATGCCGAGGAACAGGCAATATGCACCGACAGTGACGGATTTGTCCTCTGTATAGAGCCGCTTGAAAGCCACAGTGTGGGAATCCTTTGCTATGATGATCATCCACTTGCGCCCACGTAACTCTTCATGGTAGAACTCGGGCGGCTTCTCATCTGCATTCATACAAAATTGACGATTGTGAGTTTCGGCTCGAGGTCCGAGACCACCCATATTTCATCTAAGGCCTGGGTGCGTTTTCACAGTTGTGGAGTGATCTCTCATGACTGAGAACATTAACTGCTGAGGTCATAGAATCGTACTCGTGCGTTTGTGTCCTATAACGAATATTACGCGTCCTGCCTCGCCAGCCATCTTGACCATCCTCATTTATCGGACATAACTCGGGCAGCAGTTGCAGCTGGGATGTCAGACTCGCGAGAAGCTCGACAAGGGTCCAGGCTCTGTGATCAGCATATTCGTGCTAACCCTTCATCACCCTTTTTCCTTGTGGCTAGGATTACCGATTATGCGACCAATTCACGACAACAAATTCGTTTTCCTTTCTCCTTGTACGGGCTCCTGATCTAAATCTCCACCGCTGTATTCGAGGAACAGCCTTAATACTATTGTCCGGCGCAGGTCAAATTTGAGCGGCGCACTTTCCTCTTATGACGTCTGATTTGAAAAACCGGCGCCGATTTTCACCACTCGGGCTTCTTTTCAATTTCTCGAGAACTTCTTCTGGGGCTAGGTTCGCCAATTTCACAGATCACTTAAGTACTAGCTTTCAAATGGTATAGTAGTCCGCTGCTCTATCCCCTTTGCTTTTCTGCCATTCCTCTATATGTAGCGGCACGTTTGAATGGGATGACCTAATATTCAACAGCCTCGATTGGACGCGTGAATTCGAGGTGGTCTAGCGACGAAGTGGCCTTCCACCCGCGGCGCCGAGTTCAAATCCCGGTCGACTCCCGCCCAGGCCAACCAAGCCTTCTACCCTCCGGGGACGGTAAATTGGTACCAGATTCGTCTGGGAGGATAAAACACTGACTTGTACATCGGCTGGCCCCCGCAAGTCATTGTATAGGCACATCGCATTCAATAAGCCACTACGATTTCTGAATGGAAGTAGAATGCGTGCCGCATCCCACGAAGGGATTGATCAGCGGCAAGACTTTCTCTTTATCCTTTATTGACGCATACCGTCTTTGTAAAGGCGGCATAAAGGGGCATGCAGTTAGTAGGTCGGGACTGCTTCTCACATGAGAAGAGTGTAATGATCTGTAGGGATTGCGCCGCGTACATAATATCGTTCTGAATTATGATAAACTATTGTAAATATGTAGTGTCTGTGCACTAACGTTTTGTTTTGAAGGTTGTGCAACTGGTTGTTTTTCTATTTGAGGTCCTACTGAGTGGCAGAGATATTTAATTGTCCCGCTACCTGCTGCGGCTGGCATTCATGGCATAAAATAATATGCGCCTTCTTAGAGCGGTAACTTCGGCACATTACTTCCACCCTTTCGATTACCTGCTACTTTATTTCGTAGTATTGCTGTTCACCTCAGTGGTCGATGGTTCGAAATTAGGTACTTTTTATTGATTAGAAATATTATCAGTTATATGCAAGCTGAAGTGGTGTAGTGGCAAGCGGCCTACATCGCCGCGGCTCGGGTATCTAATCCCGAATCGACTCTCGCCCAAGCCACCTGAGCCTTTTTTCCGCTGGGATAGTAAATTCTCTACTCCTTCTCTTAATATAAGCAATCTAAATGTGGATTTAACGTATTTCTTAACTCTTTAATGAGGTAACAACTGTCCCATTTGTTATCACAAGAATGCTGAGTCATGGACAAAAGTAAAAGCAAAGTAGCTCAGCAAATAGTCCCTAGAAAGGACTGTGGCGTTAAATAGCAGTTATCATAGTTAAACATCCTCCTTTTATGTTTTCGCAACCCCTCGCAGCGCTTCGAATGAGCGGGAACTATTCCCTATAGACACCACCTACTAGCTCTGAGTGATAAAATCGCTTAGTTGAATTTCCTTTCTACCATTACTTCTTCCTACGCCTTTCTACGCATGCGTGGTGTTGGAAACCGTTTTCCTTTTCGTAGCACTAGGGATGGCAATAACAGACGTACTGGAAAGGGCACTGATTTTCGTTCGCGTTTTGTCGATAGCCCTGATGCAGCGCATTTATGATCAACAGTTACACCTGCCAATGCGGGCCCCCGATCCCGCTCGTTCGTATCAAGCTTTCGCTCAAGGTCTGTGACACTGGCTACTGAGACCAGGTGCGCGGTGGATCGCGAGTATTGTTTCATGTCCCCATCTCAGCGAATTGGACCTGGTTGAGTTTGTGCAGGTCGTCGGAACCGTACGCCGGTGGCGCCGTTACGCACAGCGCGCTTACTTCACGCGCTGCGTCCGGTCGCGCTGCTACACGCGGCCAGAAAAGTGGACACGGTCCGGCCGCCAGGGTAAACCCGCCGGATTTATCCATCGTGAAGCGCGGTGAGCGCTACTGGTCTGCAACCGCTGCGAGCTGTACTTAGTTCAAGTATTTCCCGAGGCGCCCTCGTGTCATACTGGCTCGGGGGTCTGCCGCCATCAGCTTTGATTGCGAAGCTTTATGTGCTCTGTTCCGTGAACCGCCCGGGTAGTGTCGATAATCTGCACCTCATCACCGCCGTACGTTGGTGTCTCCCGGACGCAGGGTCCGTCAGCACCTGACACCTTACTGACGGAACGGTCACGTTGTTAGTGAATTGTCGGAAGATGCATCAAGTAGCAGCAGATGTGCTCTTGGCTGCTGAATTGCTCTTACCACCGCCAAATTATTCGCCTGGTCCTGGGGAGCGGGGTGGTGGGCGGGGGGGGTGTACGTTTTGGGCCTGAAAGGATTGCCCAAGCCTACACAAGATTGGCGGCGAGGGCTTGCGAAAGTTGACGAGGTGACGCCGCGCCTCGCGAGGGACCAACGGGGCTGCGTGTCACGCGACGAGAAATGGTGTAGTTAATGTTAGGAAGAAGCGGGACTAAGGGAAAAACGTCCATTCGACTTTACGATTTAGCCGCCGCTCACTAAGCAGTGGCGCCTTGATTTTTATGTCTACGTGAGAGGGGCACATAAGTTTTTCGGCCCGACCAGGCACATAGCATTATAACATAATTTTAGTAAGAGCCCTTCAAGCGGGATCGATCCTACACACTGTGATGAGAATGCTCAATGTGTCTACGACAGTCACAACAGGTACTGTTTCTGGAGTTCCCAGCGCTCTTTTCAATTCAAGTAGCTTTACCTTTTCAGGATTCACCGATGTGAATGCTATGAGGGCTATGCTGGGGATGGAACGACGTGTGTAAAAATCCATACTACTGAGACACAAGGTGAATAGAGTTTGGAAAGTGCTTCGGGAACAGGAGAGGCTGGAATAATCGGCAACAATTTAGCTCGTCCAATGCCACAGCAATGTCGTGACTCAACGGATTGTCATGAAAATGGCCATTGTGTGGTAGTCGACGATAACGGCTACGTTTGCGAGTGTTTGCCTGGATACCGCGGTGATGGAATTCGACAGTGTGTCGTAGCTGGTAAGTGCATTTCACCTACTGAGATTTCTTGGCTGGGCCTCATTCAATCCACATTGGGCACGTTGTGGGCATGAGAAGTATCGTTCGTACCCGCACGACCTTCTTCCACAGCCGCATTGAGCCTGACCGCCTTAAACCTGGGGATTTCCAGCTTCACCTTTCACCATTATTCTACTTCTTAACAGAAACCTACACAATAGAAGGAAGGGAGGACAGTTACTGTGTCCTTTGTCCCATGGCCTTCACCCCTCCAACCATTTTTCTTCTATGCAGACCCCCTCCACAAACCATTTATTACTTCTCCTACAAGGACTTCTGTACAACTCCCATGTTGAAGATTCCTCCATCAGAGCAAACCCCGTTTCCACAGCTAAACCCTTTTACGTACCTAAACCTATAATTATTATTACTATTATTGATTAATCGATGGATTTTATGGGGTTTGGTGGAATTTTGAAGCGCCTCTTCCAGATCAATGTAACCCCCAACGGATCCGGCAGGGTGCCATCAAACGCCGAATGTGTCTTTATACGGCACTAAAACTGAGGGCGGTTGCATACGTGCTGACAAGTTGGCGATAAACGGTGCGAGGTGGTGCGGTAGATATTATCTTCGTGAGCATGCCGTCCAAGAATTGTTTAAATCCGAGACTTTCAAAAATAAAATGAGCCGACTTACACTTCTTGCAGCTAGCAAAATTTACTTATTAAACTGTTCTTTTTTCGTTTTTTTTTCGACTCCTATTCAGTACTATTCGCGGGTATAGATTACTTGCGCCGGTGGTTGAAGCAGACGGGAGTTGTCACGCCGTTGCGCAGGTGGTGACGTAGTGACGTAGTTTTTGCTCGTTATCACAGTGACAGTGATTACCTGGCCTGGACCCTTTCCCATCAGACTGCCTCTTCCCTTTATTAGGCATGACAAATGCTTCAATTTTCATTTGAAAAACGATTCAATTTTCATTTGAAAACGAGCGCTGAAAAAAGCTCGTGGAAAATTCTTTGTTTCTTCCCGTAAAATAAGGATAAGGATAAGACAAGGAAAATCTGGAGATCTGGAGACGAGCATTCTACTGCTATTACTCAAGGTGCGACCGAAGCCCTCGAATTGAGCATTCTGACGTTATGATTCGATAGGTTGAGTCGCATTCCAAGCAGATCGTAGGGACGAGATCAGTCATGCTACTGTGCTGTCCTCATCGGCGCACCCCTCGCCTTACCGTATTAGAACTGAGGATGTACCAATGAGAGAGCACACTGATCGGACGTCCCCGCCCACACGATGAGCGTGGATGTGCCTTTGAAACCCGTGCTCACATATTCGGAGTTGGCATGAAATCGCTAAACTTGAATGAGATTTTTCGCCTTAAACTCCCTTTCGAAGGGAGGGAACAGACCAGACCACTGGATATAGTTTTTGAGACTGCCCCAATAGACATCAGCTGCGCATGTGCAGGAAACCTCCTTTCGGCAACCCCTAAAGAAGGTGGGTTCACCTACAGATGGAGTCCAAGCGATTAGCATGCCTATCGCTTTCAATATTCAATTCACAAATCTTTATTAATTTCGAGCGAATTAATTGCTTTCTAAATTACTACCTGAACCCGCACTGCTGTGAACCACCTCATATTAGAAGGATTTCATTAGAACAATTTTAGGGTTCACTGGAGACGGAGTTCGATGCGTTC